AGGAATACAGAGGGCCTAGACAGATGTACACGTATTCCTCTTCACACACAGATCACGTTTAACACATTTTAAAACAATGAATTTTTATTTATAAAGATTTTAAGTTCTCATCACATGAGCTTCTGAAGTTATCGGAGAACTCACTGCCTTTCATGAAACACTGGGCAAACTGAAAATGGATTAAGGCCTAAAGTACAGATACGATATTTCATCTCTACAGAGTCTCTTGAAACTCATTCATACAATTTTACTGTCAATATTTTAGTCAAGTTGGTCTTTACTCCATCTTGGACAAAAACAGAGAAGAACTTAACATAATCATCGAAGGCTCTTAAAGGAATCAGATTCTCCCATTTTCTCTTTAAAACCATGTTAGCATTATTCAAATCAATGAAAACTGCAATGACCCAACTGTGGGTAAGATCTAACCACACAAGATCACCTGGCACTCGACCAGGCTTTCCAGCAGTGAGCAGGTTAGAGTGTGGAAGGGATTAGAGGCGAACTAAGCTATAGTGGGAAGTGAGGCAGAGCAGTGCAGCTCAGGGACTTGAATGAAGAGCCTTCGTTACCCCATGTGCTACACAAACTTTGCTGTTTTCCACTTGTGCCATGATATGAAAGCAGCTCGGAAGCCCTGACCTAAGACTACTCACACTAAAGGAATGATTTGGATCAGCTGTGACACAGTAGTAATGTGCCACTCAAAAGAAACCAGATCTCACATGGAGACTGAAGCTCGAATCCCTAACGCGGTCAACCTGAAACACAGAGGCATGTACATAAATGCCTAAGAATTGACAGGCTGGAGGACTTGTGGAGGGGTGTGTGTGCGTGTGAATGTGTGTCTTTTTCTCATGTGCACATACCACGTGGGATCTGACTCTCTATGCACAGGGCTTTACTGCGCTACAGGGACAGCCCCAACACTTGGCATTTTAAAAAACAGGTTGGATGGCAGAGCAAATGTTCATAACATACAGGTAGATGAAAGTGAAGATTAAAAAAATAGTGAAGGGGCGAGCTGATGGCATAGTGGTTAAAGTGCCTGGATCCCACATAGCCAACTGTACTAGCTGTAAAAAACACACTGGGGGGAACCAGCAGTTAGCGTAATGGCTATGTCGCTGAACTCCCACGTAGTCGACTGTGGTTCGCGTCCCAGACCCGGTGGCTTAGAACTCATGCTGGGTGCGTGTGCGTGCGTGCCCAAGATCCCGAGAGGAGAATGGAGGAGAAGGGATTGCGGCGTGACCATCCCCCCTGGGGGGTGATTTCTCGCTTTCTGTCTCTATGTCTCTGTCTGTCTGGCGAGCGCACGCGCCCTATAGCGAAAATCTCTAAAAAACAAACAAACAAACAACAAAAAACAAAACAAACAAACAAACAAACAAAAAAACCACACTGGGCACGTGTGCACATGTGTCCAAAATCCCAAAAGAAGAGAGAAATGGAGAAAGGATTACAACCTGACCATTCCTTGTGATGGGTGCCTTTCTCACTTTGAGACAAACACATGTGTCCCCTAACAATTTATTTTTTAATAATTATTTATTTTATTTATTCATTCATTTATTTTTCAGTTTGACCAGAGAGAGACAGAGGGTGAGAGTGAGAGAGAGAGGAAGTGAGAAAGCAAGCCACCAGATTCAGGACTTAAACCCTGGTTGACCATGTGGGAGTGTCCAGCACCTTAACTACCACGCCACCTGCTGGTCCCCCTAACAATTTATTTTTAAATGGTAAGGACAGGGGTCAGCAGGTGGCATGGTGCTTAAGGAGCTAGACTCCCACATGGCCAACCACAGTTGAAGTCCCGGGCCTAGCAGCTTGAAAATCATGCCAGTTAAGCAAGTGTGCATGCCCAAAATCCTGAGAGGAGAATAGAGACGGGAATGTGCTGTGGCCATATCCTCTGGGGGGTGATTTCTGACTTTCTTTCTCTTGTTACTCCAGCAAGCACACACATCCTATAAGCAAAATGCTACCTCTCTTTAAAAAAAAAAAAAAAATTGTGAGTACTATGTACTTCAGACAGTAAAATGTGATTTTCCTTAGGATATGTACATATCACAATGTTAACAATTTCTCTCTAGATAGTGGGATAGCCAATATTTCACAGAAGTGGCCATAAGCCTACTTGGGGCTCCCCCTTATCATCAGATGGGAGTGGGTTCAGGAAGAGGTGGCAGAGTATCTTTGCTGTATGCCTCTGTCTCATCTTTTCCTTCCTATCTCACTGACCATCCGTTGGTTCTACAGTCCTGCAAAGACCCCACAGATCTACTTAAAAGAAGCCACAAACATAAAGCAGAAAAGACAAGACTAACCTGCAAACAAGCACCAACTCCTGAAGTCATCCAGGAGCTCACTGCCTTTCATATAATATTGGGCAAACTGACAACTAATTGATTAAGCCTTGAAGTGCAGATATAATTCTTGAGAAGTGAGAGATGCTGTCTCTCTTCCCCAGATTTTCTGCAGCCAAACAGCTGCCACAGACTGAGAAACCCTGATGACCCCAAACGTTTAAATCCAAGGAGTAACTTTCCAAAATTAGCAGACTGGAGACTGGAGTAGACCAGAAACCAGGAGTTAACAGCCCTTCACTTAGTCAATACAATACTTAGAGTTCCATGAATGTGGGAGTCCTCTGAGTGATAGGATGCCCACTGCTTTAGTAACATTAAACCAGCACTAACAAAGGCACTCCTTCCACATGCAACACAAAGGCATGACTACTGCTCCAGATATCTCTGGCAACTAATGGGGGTGAGAGCAGAGAAGACCTCAGAAGGTCAACAATAAGACATAGCCACGGGTCCAGCAAATCTCCAGTATCCTCTCCTCTTCCCCCTTGTAACTGAACTGAACCTGATACTCAGAAGCCAGGGCACAGATAATGAGGGCTACGTTTCCCAGCCTCAAGCATGTGGCTATCAACCCTTCTTTCCTCTTCCTCATCCTACTGCCTGGAACAGGATGTAAAGGCTGGAATGCTAGCTGCCAGGAGGAAGACAACCAGACTCTAGAAACAAAAAAGCAGAAAGCACAGGAGTTAGGATCCCAGAGCTGTCTTCCCAGGGCTGCTTTCAATCCTGAACTGCCTACCTCTAGATTTCATTTACAGGAAACAGAAATGAACTTCAGTCCTGTTTAAGCAGCTGTTACCTCAGGTTTTGTGTCACATGCTGCTGAATCTAATCCAAAATGACACAGACATCAACGACTAAACCCACAAAATGAATTCAGTGTCTCAGGGAAACATAAGCTCCCCGGGAGCAGGCATCTTGTCTGCGCCTAGACCAGAACCTGGTACAGGGCCCATCCCAATCTGAGAAAGAACAATATCCTTGGCTCAATCTCTCTCTTTTTTTCTATTTTAACAAACACTCTCTCTTCTTCTGTTTTAACAAATCTTTACAAGGTTCTTACTCTTAAGAAAACAGGTTTGAGAACTGAAGTCTCTCCAGAGCTGACTGGGTACAAAAGCAGGTTTGGAGAACTGAAGTCTCCAGTGCATCTGCCCACTGACTGGGCACAAAGCTGTATGCCCAGTGGATGAAAAAAAGCCCTTCAGCTTCGAAACTACACTGAGAAGTTGTCTTTAGGTTCTCTATTTCAGGGGAAAAAGAGGCATTATGTAGAAAGGTCAGTATGAAGACAGACGAGCTGAGCTGCATAACAATTGCTGCAGTACACACATGGGTGATCCGGGAAATACATGCACACAACAAACCAAAGAATAAGACGTTAAACTCCCTGTTAGATGATGTGGATGGGAGCAAGAGGAAGTGTGGGACAGGAAAACACATGACAGGAAATTTGATTTGAAAAATAGAAATTGCTCGAAATTGTAAGTGTGACAATCCCATGTGCCATGCTCCAGCAGCCCTCATTAATTCACCAGAGGGGGTGATGTCATCTTGTGGAAACAAGCCAAGCTGAGCCAAGCCTGCCTGCCCTGGCCAAGACCGCTGCTGCCACAGCGCCAACTCCTGCCCCTCCCATTTCCCTGGCAAGTGGACAGAAGCTGATGTAACTGCACAGAAGCAAGGGAAAGGAAAAACAAGCTTCTGAGCCACAGTAAAGAAAAAAAAAATAAAACAACTTCCTTTAATTTCAAAGTTCTTTGTTCTCAAAAGGACTTGGATGTTCTTAGGTCTTAAAATAGCTTTTCATCTTAATAAAAAAACGAAAGATCTTCCTATCTCTAACTAAAATTATATTTACTAGACTTAAAAAAAAAAAAGAAAAGAAAACACTAAGACAGGAGTTAAAAGGTTTGGCTTTTTTAAGATTCCCTCTAAATTCGCCAACAAGACAATCCACAGGCTTCGGTGAAATTCCAGGGCAGTGCACTCAGGGCTGCAAACATCACAGCAAACTCCCACAACCTCTGATAACAACTCAGCAGATAGAGAGTAACAGAAAAGCATAGAGACCCACAGAAATGATCACACTTTGAGGAGTGAGGAAAAACCTTTAAAACAGAACCAGCAAAGTTCCTAAGGAATGTTAATTCATATTATTCAACTGTGCCACAAGAAATAAGGACTGAATACTTTTGACTACTGAATCTGCCAGTCCCAACTATGAAATAAATGCTAACACAAATACTATGCAAGAAAAGGTTCTGGATTATGAAAAGGAAGGTGGTTAGAACCATCCAGGGAGACTAGTAAATTTTCCAATTAAGAAAATTCTATTTTACTTACACTTCCGTTCTAGTTCCCTCATTTCTTCGGGTGGAATTTTCATTTTATCAATATGCTCACGTAAAACACTAGCCCATTTCTGTAGAGATTCCATCACAGTCCAAGGCCTAGACATGTCTGCAACAAAAATGACCAGGGTCTCTGGCAAGGACTCAGCAGAAACTGCAAACTTCAGCAGGCCTTTGTGGTAGAGGTCTCCATCCAAAATCCAAACATTGCAGCGTGTGTGATCTGAGAAATGAAATGGAACTAAGTTACCAACTGAGGATGACAGCATAGCTACAAGAACTGCCATGGCAAGACCTTGACGGTGACAATCATGAAATCCACACAGCATGCAAACCAAGATCCAAACAGAAATCCTAACTAAAAAAGGCCCAACTGATCGGTGGATAGCAATCCTTGGTCCTGGTGCCTGATGAATTGTCCAGACTTTAAAATTTATGAACTGTTATAATCGGTACAGCCCATGCTTAAGGGAGTGGTAGCCCACATGGCTGACAGCAGTTTAAATCCTGAGCCCAGCAGCTTAAAAAACACACTGAGCGCTTGTGTGTGTGTGTCCCAAATCCTGACAGGATGAAGAAATGGAGAAGAGATTACAGTATGACCATGCTCTGTTGTGTGGTGTTTCCTCCCTTTCCTTCTGTCTATGGCAAGCATACATGGCCTCCAGCAAAACAAAACAAGCATTACCATAACATATGAAGTGTCCACATCTATAGATTTCGGCAATGTCTAAGGTACTTTAACCTTCCATAAGCAGCACGCCCACACACTACAAAGGCTGCCAGAGAGACAGGACCATTGTACTTAAGTGCTGAGATAACATCATTACTTACAAAAAATGAAATATGTATTACTAGATGCCTGCTATGAAGGAATTACAGTTATTTTTTGTTATGATAACATGCCTATATTTTTAAAAAATCCCTGTTCACATATTTCTGGTAGTATGCATAGATTAAATGATATAATGCCTGAAATTCAATTAAAAATACACCAGCGTGAAGTGAAGGGAAGAGAAAACCATTGAAGCCAGTCATAAGTACACTGTGGTTCACAATATTAGTCTCGCCTCTTGGAACTTATTTTTTGTTTTCTGTAATAAAAATGTTAAAATATGCACGTGGATGTACAAGTACAGACCATTTAATGAAACACGTGGTGCCCAAATCATTCCCAGATGATCAAATTATAAAGACAATTCTTTAATCTATTTTTAGAAATTTATAGGTATCCTTTTAGAGAACTATTTTTTAAAGAATTATTTTATTTAAAACTTCACTTATTTATTTATTTAAATTTGACCAGAGAGGAACAGAGTGAGAGAGAAAGAGAGAGAGCGAGAGAAAGAGAGAGAGAGAAAGTCCCTAGTTCTGGGCATCAAACCATGGTCAGTCATGTGGGAGTCCAGCACCCTTAACCATCATGCCATTTGCCGGCCCCAAGAACTATTTGTACCTAGAGAAAGAATGCCTACCATCAAAAATAGCATTTCACTAGCTTCTTTTCCAATAAATTTCAACATATATTTTAAAAACCTATTTCCATTTAGCTCCCTTTCTTGTATAATGCAACACACTATTAAAAATGTAGATTTATGACTTTGTGTTGACTTTAATGTATTTTAGAGAGTAGTTTCAGTCTGGGTTCTGTGAATGCCTTCAAAAATAGTGTTCTGTGGGGCAAGCAGGTGGTGTGGTTGTTAAGGGCACTGGATTCCCACATGGCCGACCATGGTTCCAGTCCTGGATCTGGTGGCTTTCTCTCTCTCTCTCTGCTCCTCTCTGGTCAAATAAAAATAAATAAATAAAGTTAAAATAAAATAAAATTATTATAAAAAAAAAGTGTTCTGTGTCCAAAGTGCATGGTTTTAATGCCTACTCATAAGTAGATTTGGTTCTTTTTTTCTTTTTCTTTTTTTGGGAGAGGTTTTTGCTATAAGGTGCATGTGCTCGCCAGAAAGACAGAGACAGACAGAAAGCAAGAAATCACCCCCTGGGGGTTGGCTATGCCACAATCCTTTCTCCTCCATTCTCCTCTCAGGATCTTGGGCACACACGCACACGCACCCGGCCTGAGTTTAAGCCACTGGGTCCAGAACCGTGGTCAACTACATGGGAATCCAGTAACATAGCCATTACGCCATCTGCTGGTCCCAGCAGACCTGGTTCTCTTCTTGACCCTCTCTCCCCACTGGGCATTACACACACCTACTCCCCGTTGCTCAGAGATCACACACACCACATGACACATTAGACAGAAGCCCCAACCCCGGAGGCAGAGGTCCTTTTACATGTTGTATCTTGCCACAAACCAGGTACGAGCCAGAGGCTATTTTCTCTACCTGGGTGAGACACCACAATGTGTATATTTATAACCCAGTGATGTCATACAATAAAAAATACCAGGAGTGAAGCCAGCAGGTGGCATGGTGGTTAAGGCACCAGACTTCCACATGGCCGACTGTGATTCGAGTCCTGGGCAAGTGTGTGCATGCATGTCCCTAATCATGAGAAGACAACAGAGAAGGGATTGCAGAAATCCCCCAGGGGGTGATTTCTCACTTTCCCTCTGTCTCTCTCTCTCTTTCTCTCCAGCAAGCACATGTACCCCACTGTAAAAACCTAAAAAACAACCACCACCACCACCAGAAAGGCAAAATGGTGGTTCCGCAGTAAAATGTAATGCTCTGCATGGCAATCCCACATAGAAAGATGCTTAAGCCCGGAAGCCTCCCCGAGTGCTCTGGGTATATCCATGTCATGATCCAGGGTTTATTGACCCTGTCGGGAATGCTTTCTCTCTCTGGCTCTCTTTCTCATGAAATAAAGAAATATATGAACTTTAAAAAAAATTAGGGATGAAAAACATATAATTAGCTATAGATAGGGTAACTTTTCCAAGTAACAAGAACTTGCAAGTAGGCAGCCTAGAACAAAATCTTATAGGGCTAGCTGGCGGTATGGTAGTTAAGGTGTTTGGATCCTACGTTGCTGACTACATGGTTGGAGTCCCAGACCCAGTGGCTTAAAAAACATGTCAGCTGCATTTGTGTGTGTGTGTGCCTAAAACCTTGAAAGGAAAACGGAGGAGGAATTACAGTATAGCCATCTCCCCTGGAGAGTACTTCTTCACTTTCTCTCTCTTTGGTGAATGCACACGCTCTCCAGCAAATTTTATAAAAATAAATTAATTTTTAAAATATCCTACAAATGCAGATAAGAAGTTTTTATACTAACCTTAAAGGAATGTGAAATAGAAGTTAACATGTACCTCAACTCAGAGGCAAGTAAATATGGCTTAACATGATGCTTTGGTATGAGATATGCTTATGCCATCTCGAAAAAGAAGAGGCTACAGAGATTCAGAAAATGACTATACTGTGTTTTGTACTATTTTTTTTTTTAAAGGCTTTTGCTATAGGGCACATGCACCCGCCAGACAGACAGAGACAGAGAGACAGAAAGTGAGAAATCACCCCCCAGGGGCATGGCCACACTGCAATCTCTTCTCCTCCATTCTCTTCTCGAGATCTTGTCACGCATGCACACACGCCCAGAGTTTGAGTTTTAAGCCACCGGGTCCAGGACACGAACCACGGTCGACTACATGGGAGTGCAGCGACATAACCATTACGCTAAATGCTGGTCCCACCATGTTTTGTACTTTTAAAAGAAAAATGGTACTGGAGCTATTGCTGAATCTCAAGCACTTGGTGTCTCAAGCATCCCATTACACCTGACACACACGACCTCCCATTCTATCAAACTGCAAAATAGGCACCATTACCACATTGTGCAAATGAGGAAACTGAAGTGCAAAGTGGTTGAGTCAGTCTCCTGAGGCCATAAAACTACTATCTGCAGGTGTGGCATTCTAAACTAGTTGTTTGGATCCAAAGCCCAAGTTCTTTCCACAGTAACCATGCTGCCCAACAAAGACAGGAAGCAAAACACACACACACAAATCAGGTCTTCTAAGCCTGGCTCAGGGTCTTCTAAGTTCTAGCACTACAAGCACAAACTCCAATGGGCACCTGAGTGTCTCAAATCCTTATTTAAAAAAAAAAAAAAAATTTGCCAGGATGTGTGTACTCACTGGTGAGAGCCAGAAAGAGAAAGATGGAGAAAGAGGGGAAAAGAGAAAGTATTTCCCATGGGAGACAGTCACAGCAAAATCCCTTTTCCACCACTTCTCTCTCCTTTCAGGATCTTGAGCACACATGCCCACGCATCCAACATGTTTTCTCAAGCTGCCAGGTACCGTGCAGTCAGTCATGTGAGATTGGCCGTGTGGGATCCAGTCGCCCTAACCACCAGGCTACCAGCTGGCCCGCCTGTTCTTCTTACACAAGACAGAGCCCTTGGCACAGGGTCTACCTCCAGTTTCCTTTTAAGTCTTTCAAGGAACGTTCAGCATGACAGAGGAAGCCAGGGGAAGAGAGCAAGAATAAAATCCCTGGCATTCTAAATTGATCACTAAATTAATGATAAGACAGCTCAGCTTTAACAGAGCTTTATCCATGCCCTGCAATAAACAGCTCTTAGAAATGGCAGAATTACGGTACTAGAAAGGAGTTCAACCTAGCTTCCTCATTTTAGTAATTTGGGTAATGGGGGACTAGAGATGGTGGGATTAGTCTCCCCTTACATAACCACCCTTACCTCATAATCCTTACTGTTGAAATGGCAGAAGGTAAATATAAAGAAACTAATTCAACTTATATACTTTATCTTACAAGATAACTTTCCTAAGAAAAATAAAAAGACCTAGGTACTAATAATTTTATTAGTCATTCAAGAGATCTAACATAAACCAAAAGATTATAGAGGAGGCACTGCTGAGTGCCATTATAATAAAGAAAGCATAAAGAAACCATTACTCCAGTTTTATTCCAAGTTAACCATTACTCCATTGACAGAGGTTGGGGCAGCTGCATTCCCGAACAGCCAACAGCATGGTTTGAGTTCTGGATCAAGCAGCTTGAAAAATATGCTAGGTGCATGCGAATACTTGACAAAAATCCTGAGAGGAGGGGCCAACAGATGACGCAGTGGTTATGTCACTGGACTCCCACATGGCAGACTGTTCTTTGAGTACAGGACCCAGTGGCTTAAAAATCATGCTGACAACTGTGTATGCTTGCCCAAGATCCTGGGAACAGAATGGAGAAGGGTTGTGGGATGGCTATACCCTCGGGGTGTGTGTGTGTGTGTGAATTCTCACTTTATTTTATTCACTTTCTTCCTCATTGTCTCTGTCTGTCTCTCTCTCCAGGGAAGGCATGTGCCCTTAGGCAAAAACCTCTTAGAAAAAATAAAAAAGAAAGAAAGAAAGAAAAGAAAAATCCTGAGAGTAGAGTAGAAGAGGGGCCTGGAGTATGGCCATCTCCCCAGGAGGTGATTTCTTACTTTCCCTCTCTAGCTGTCTCTCTGGTAAGCACACATGCCCTACTGCAAAATCTGTATTAAAAACAAAAGCAAAAACAAAAAACTCCAATCCAATTCATTTATAAGAATTTTTAAGTGCTATCTAATTCTTTTTCACCTTTATTTTATTCATGATAGGTAACGCACACACACATATGAGACAGAAAGACAGACAGAGAAGACATGCACTTTAGATAGGTTTTCACCATGCTATAATCCTCTTCCCCAAGTCCTCCAGCTAATCAGGATCTTGGGCATATGAACCCACCATGTTTCAAGTTGATCAGGCCAGGAATCCAAACCCATGGTCGGCCATGTGGCTTCCAGTACTGCAGTTCAATACACTACCTCCTGTGCTACTGAGGCTGGGCCTGATATCTTTAATTTTTATAAGAATATTTATCGTGTACTTTTAAATTGTCCTAACTACTGAGTAGCCCTGACTATACACATTTTAAACATGAGGAACTGAAGGAGAACATTATCACTCTTAAGCCTTTCTATTCCCTCCATTAAGAAAAAAAAACACAGGAAATTAGCATTTTTAAACTGTCAAAAAGGAATTTAGAAAACCCTTCTGAATATGTATGTTAGATTGTTACACTGTGAACCACACCAATTTCAAGTTCTCTTTTAGAACCAGGCAGAGTAACAAGGGTATCCAGATCAGTTTGCCAGGCACTCCTCTTATAGAAAACACGAAGGCTTTAAAAATAATCTTGCTTATACCTTTATGTGAATATTAAAACTTTACTGGGACCAGCAGATGGCATAATGGCTTCATCACTGGACTCCCATGTAGTCAACTGCGGTTTGAGTCCTGGACCTGGTGGCTTAAACTCACGCCAGGCACATGTGCATGCGTGCCTAAGATCCCAAGAAGAGAATGGAAGAAAAGGGATTGCAGTGTGGCCACCCACCCTGTGGGGGAGGGGGGTGATTTCTCACTTTCTGTCTCTCTCTGTCTTTCTGGCGAGCACACGCGCCCCGTAGCAAAAAACCTCTCCAAAAAAAAAAAAAAAAAAATCAACTTTACCTTCAGGTGGGGCCAGCAGGTGGTGTGGCAGTTAAGGGCACTGGACTCCCACACCGCCAACTGTGGTTTGAGTCCTAGACCTGGCGGCTTGCTTTCTCACTTTCCCTTTCTCTCTGTCTGTCTCTCTCTGGTCAAATTAAAATAATAATAACAAAGTTAAATAAATAATTTTTAAAAAAGAAAACTTGACCTTCAGGGCCACACAAGCACCGTGTAGAGAGGCCAGATCTCAAATGGTCAATGCATTTGAATCCTGCCCCTGGTGGCATGCAAAACATGCCAGGCCCATGTCCATGCGACCCCAGAATCCTGACAAGAAGGAAGGATGGAGAGGGGATTGCGGCATGATCAGGCCCCTCTAAGGGGCACATGTGCTGTCTCTGGTGCACACAATTCTCCAGCATTAAGAAAAAAAATAAGTTTTACCTTCAGAGTCTCCTTTTAAATGAGGGCAAGCCAGAGCAGTAGCTAAGTTGTATTTTCCATTTCTGCTAACACACTTGACAAAGAAAAGTGGGTAAGGTCCTACAAAAGATACAAGCTTTATCTGTTTCCCAATTCTTTTAGAGTCAAACAGAAAATGGAGAACACCTAGCCATACCTTGGAGCTGATACCAAGGAGTCAGAGTCCTGCATATGCCCCTCTTACCAAGGATCAATGCTTTACTCACCATCTCGGTCCTCATCGTGGACGCTGAGGTAGAGATACTCTAGGCCTCTTCCTTTTTTGCCATGCTCAGCTCCTTGTAGTTTAGTCATGAGGGTTGTTTTACCAGAACCATCTTCACCTACAAATGATGTTCGCAGGAAAACAAAGGTATACAGTTTATTCCAGGCAAGGATGAAGAATCCTAACATTCTCATGACAAGGAACAACTACAAATTTCATGTAAAGCTTGCTGCTGAGGTCTCACCTTCCTTCATTAACAAAGCTGGCTTTGATGTGAGAGAGTAGCAGAGATGGGGGGAGTGAAGAGAGGGAACAGCAAAGGCCAAGAACGCCAAAATCTAAAATGGCATTCTATTGCAGGTAACCCCCTACCACTTACAATAGGGGCATTTGGAGAAGTGAAAATAAAAGGTGGGGCAAGACTCTCACAAGATTAACTTTTACCACAAAAACAAAAAATCTTCAAAACACAATGAACCTTTAAAAAAAAAAAAAAAAACTAAACTAAAAGTCCAGGAACTCTGAACTAAAACAGTGTCTGACCTCTGACCCTGCCTCACAATCGGAAGAACAGAAAATGTTTTTTACTTCTGATTTTAGCATACCTCGTTCACCAGTATTCTGAAGGCTCAGAAACTGAAGAAAATAATGACAAACTTAAGCAAATCTCTTGAGTATAACCTCTGTTATTATCAAGTACTTCCTCATCTCTCTCCACCCAACTATCCCCTCCCCTCAAAAACGCTCTCTGAACATCCCACAGAACCATCACCACCAAACATAACTAGGCACTCCGGGAATTTAATAATATAGAATTACAGGACATGAGAACTGAAAGGCATTCCAGAGATCAAAGCCCTCCTCTCTCCACCCCCATGTCGAAGCCATCACCTTACTCAGGGCCTCTATCCCAACTGGGCCTTGGTGAGCGCATGTCAGTCTGACTTCAGTACCTGCTCATTTTGAGCTACCTGCCACTTGCAGCAAGTTATCTTCCTAAGACACAGATCTGGCGATCTTAGTCCTCTATTTCTTGAAGATCTCTGAGGGTCCCCTATTACCTACTTCAGTGACTATACACTCCCCTCAGAAACAGTAGAGAAACCACCAAGGCAGTGATTGCCATGAGGACTCGGGGGTCAGAAGTGAGATAAAAAATGAGAATGCAGGGCCAGCAGGTGGTGTGGTGCTTAAAAGTGCTGGACTCCCACAAGGCCAACCCTGGTTTGAGTCCCCAGCTGGCAGCTTGCTTTCTCACTTTCCCTCTCTCTTTCTCTGGTTAAATAAAAAAATAATAATTTCTTTTTTAGAAAGTGATAATCAGAGGCCTTCAGGAAAGAGCAGTAATTCTTCAGTCCGTCACAATCTGCTCACCAGGCATCCACCACAAGAAGCATCTACCGACTTCCATACCCCACACTCTCCAGTCATCTGTGCCTTTGTGCCATACCTACCCTTTAAAACACTGCACCAAGTTACCCTCCTTCAACAGCACCACGCCGGGTGATGCTGCCACAATAACTGTCGATGCCAGGCGGAGTGTAGTCAAACACCAACACATCTGTCTCACACTAGACTGAGATGCCCACGACATGCCTAAGGGCTGCCTGTGCTATTCAGTGTGGGGCCCACACAGCCCACTCAACAAATAACGCTTGTGTGAATGCACCCAAATTCCTTCACTGATAAGGACAAGGAGGCCAGAGAGGTTGAGTGAGCTGACTCAGGTAACCCAGCAGTTAGGGCTGGAAAGGGAAGAAAGCCTGCAGTCCTTTGCAGAGTCCCTAAAACCTCCGACTGTGCACTGCTCGCTAGGATGGAGGAAGACTTCCCTGGCTGCGAGCCCAGATCGCCTCTCCTCTATCTGCCTAACCTCCTCACCTACTCACTCCCCTCTCCACGCCCTCAGCTCAGGGAACGAGGAGATGAGCGCGGGCAGTCAGAGACACTTAAAGCATGATCGATGCTGAGGTCAAGTGACTGGAGGAACGTGCACCTGAACCCATGCAGCACCACCGGGCTCTCGGAAGGAAAGCATCCCGCCCGCGGCGAGGAGGGCTTGGCCACTCTCCAGCTAGGCCGCCGGGGTCCACAGTGCCCTCCCAGGGGCAGACGCGGACACACGGCAGGAAAAGGAAGGCTACGACCCGTGGGAGGGGCGACCGCCTAGCCCACCCCAGAGGCCCCGGGCAACGCCCCGAAGCCGGCACGCACCGAAGACCAGGATGTTCTTGCCAGACGGCAGCTTGGACCTGGCGCGGGTGGACACTTCGCTCAAAATCGAAGACCTGCGGCGACAGTGACAAAGCCGGTCTGCCCCAGGGT